GAGATCATCCTTTCACTTCCATTTTCATTATTTATGGAAAACCAGATATCAATGAATGCCTAGAAATGTACAATAGTGATGGAACCCCTAGATGCGCTGGTTGGAAATGTGTCAATTTCCAGGGAAGTTATGATTGTATGAACACAAATCATCGGTCACTTTTTATAGGTAAGTCGTCTCGGCACTTGAAGCTTTTTTTATTTTACAATGATTTGAAAATATATAGACAAAATTACTACTGTACATATTTAGATTTTGAAATTGAGAACCCGTCTACTAATGATCCATGTAATTAAATTCAAGATTACAACATGCATCCGGCTTACATTTTTCTTTTGTCCGTCTGCAGGGCTTGGTTCTAGTTTCGGCTCATTGATCTTTATTGGTGTAATATACGGGTTATACAAATTTATTAGAAAGCAAAGGAAGTTACGCCAAAAGAAGAAGTTTTTCAAGCGTAATGGGGGTTTACTGTTGCAACAACAGTTACGTTCAACAGAAGGCAACATTGAAAAGACAAGAGTGTTCAATTCGAAAGAGTTGGAAAAAGCCACCGAAAACTTTAGCTCAAATAGAATACTTGGCCAAGGAGGTCAAGGCACTGTGTACAAAGGAATGCTTGTTGACGGTAGAATTGTAGCAGTGAAGAAGTCCAAAGTCGTTGACGAAGACAAATTGGAAGAGTTCATCAATGAAGTTGTCATTCTTTCGCAAATCAACCACAGAAACATCGTGAAACTCTTGGGGTGTTGTCTGGAGACAGATGTCCCTGTTCTTGTCTACGAGTTTATTCCTAACGGTAACCTTTTCGAACTTCTTCATGATGAGTTTGATGATAACGCGATGGCTACTTGGGAAGTGCGTCTTCGCATTGCTGTAGATGTTGCAGGAGCCATCTCGTACTTGCACTCCTCTGCATCGTCTCCAATCTATCACAGAGACGTCAAGTCTACAAACATAATGCTAGATGAGAAGTATCGAGCCAAGGTGTCTGATTTCGGAACCTCAAGATCGGTAACCGTGGATCATACCCACTTGACAACGGTAGTTTCAGGTACCGTGGGATACGTGGATCCTGAGTACTTCCAGTCAAGTCAATTCACCGATAAAAGCGATGTCTATAGCTTCGGGGTTGTGTTGGTGGAGCTCATCACTGGAGAAAAGTCGATATCTTTCTTGCGGTCTCAAGAAAACAGGACCTTGGCAACTTATTTCATTCTTGCAATGAAAGAGAATAGACTTTCTGACATTATCGATGCTCGAATAAGAGATGGGTGCAAGCTGAATCAAGTGACCGCAGTAGCGAAAATGGCTAGGAAGTGTCTGAACTTGAAAGGGAGGAAACGACCAAGCATGAGAGAAGTTTCCATGGAACTGGAGAAGATTCGTTCGTCTCTCGGAGAGATGCAGCCACCTGAGTATGTTAGTGACTAC